AGAACGACCCGAGTCGGGTAGCTCGGTTACCACATGCCCAAAAATATACTCAACAGTAGCTGATAACTAAAAACCCATCCAACAATTTGGTTTAGAATGTTTAGGAATTCGATTTCTTTTAATTGTGTTGAGTAATCTTGCTTAATAATCCGGCTAACCTTCCTTGCGATACGACCCGGTGTCGAATCTTTCGATTCTACTCCGGTAAAAATACCTACAACATCAAGCCCACTCTGCTCAATACTCGAATAATAAATTATTCCAAGAAATATTATTGGACTCTCAATTTAACTCAGAATTACACTTAATTCATTTCCCTATTTATTGCTCGATTTATATCCCCGTTTAAGATTTAACGTTAATTGCGTAATTTATTACTGACAATAAAATTAATCAACTTCTCGAATTTGAAACTAGTAACACACAATTTTTTTATTATTATGTCGGAAATTAATCTGTCGGGGTTAACATAATAATTCTTCTTGAGCCCATTTTGGGGACGTTATCAACTCGGACTTTCTGGCATATGGTGACAGTAAACAATATTGATGACACACCATGCAGCCAACATTTCTTACCAAAGTATCGAGTAGGTTGACCTACCAGAATACGTCTCACCCACGATAAATCAAATAAATAAATACCGCCTATATATGCAGTACGTACGTTATCTCACGGATTAAGAATACGTAGCAAACATTGAGGTCTAGATTATTTATTTGGTCAATATAAAATAATTATATCCGAATGTGGATCCATTGTTTTGTATGTTTTTGTTGCTATTTTGTGTGTTCTTATGTGTTTTGTTTGTGTTCGTTTTATTTTATTTTAGGTTTTTCCTGGTCCATTTAGTCGTATTTGCTCGTTTTTGTGTTCTCGTTTCGTTTTGGTGTCTTGTGCTTTTTATTTCTCTTTTTACCTTTTATTTTGTAGGGAAAGCGTGTTCCGGAAAGTCGGTAATAAATTTATGGAAAAATGCCGAAAAGTCACCCGAGACGAGGAGACAAATATTTGAGGAGCATGGGTCAAAATTTCAAGCCAATCGGATAACCGCGCGAGAAGTTAGAGCTAATCGAGCTTCAAAAGTCAAGCCAAGGCCGGATTAGAGCCCTCAAAAATCATGATCTATTCTGCGAATGCACTCTATCCCTCGAGTTCCCCCTTGCTAGCGAAAATAGCTAGCGAAAATGAAGTTCTATCTAGCGAGTTCGGCCTATCTTGCGAGTTTCTATCATTAAATGTGTGTATTTTTAGTGTTTGTTTGTGGTGTAGCTATAAATAGACATCTTGCTTTGTAATTTTGGGAGAATTTCTCATTTGCTAAATTTTCCTCTTCTTAGTTTTACTCTCCCTTCTCTCTAACTTCTTTTCTCTCTCTAAGGGCTCCAAGACCCTATTTTTAACTGTAATATTTCTCCATCAAGATTACAACTTTTCGGCTTATTTCTTCTCGTGGATGCATTAGAGACGTGGAGACTTCGCTTAAGGTTCATGATTTCGTTAGTCTTGCTTGTCTTTACTTATTGAGTTATTCTAGGGTTAAGATATGCACATCCATGAGTCGATTATGCTATCATCCTCGTAGGCTAGGGATTATGTGATATTGTTATTGATTGCGTGAGCGAGAATTGATTGAGAGATTAATTGATCACGAGTGACTATTGCTTGGTTGCATGTTCCCGAACCTATGAGGGCCTTCTTTCTATCTTGGGTCTAGGAGTACCTTGTTCTTTTTCTCTTTATTTTTCCTTTTCTTGCAAATTGAGGTCTTGCTTGATTCGCCTTAGTTAAATTGCGTTCTTAGCTTTAAACAACCACCAAACCATGCGATTAGAATGTTTAGAATTTTTATTTTCTTTTCTTGTGTGAGTCAACCGTTGCTTGAATCCGCGTTCGAATAGCCTTCCTTTGAGAACGACCCGAGTCTAGTTAACTCGGTTACCAATTGCCCAAAAATACTACAAACATCCATTCAATGCATCTAGATGTACTAGTGTAATCGTTACTCTAAGATCAACTAATTTCAAGATTCACACTACAATATTTCACGACAGTGAGTTCAATTCCCGTCTAAACTGTGAACAATTATTTATATTTTTACAGGGAACCAATAATATGATCTTATTATTCCAAACCCGGAACCATATTGCCTACAATGTAAAATAAGAACAATGTTCATATAATTAAGTTAACTATGAACATCTACTTGACTAAAAACACATATCTTATCCAAAATGGTATTGTTAAATAACACAGAGCCGAACTTTTGCAGTATGCTCCAACAATTTGAAAACTTTGAAAATTAATAAAAAAATATGTGAAATATATTTTTTAATAAATTTTAAATAAAGGAATAAGAACACTATAAAATTGTATCAAGTGATTTTATGATAATTTTTTTTAAATCATTTAAATAAAAATATGCGTAATTGTTTTGAGATATATAATCACATATAAATACAATGAAATCAAATTATATATAATCCATATAATGTTGATTTGCTCGCCACTATTATTTTTGTTAGGTAAGATTAGACAAAAAATGAGTAACATATGAAACAGAATGGAAGCGAAAAAATTGTGGCAATTTATTTTGTTCAATAATAAAAGTGAATAAAATAAATAATTACTAGAAAAAAAAAAACAAAAGTTAACAAGGTAAACGCCATTATTATTTATTTTTTTATAAAATAAAAGTAATTACAAGTCATGTCCAAATATTTTAATATTTTTTTATTAATTGACCATTATTATTTTTCCATGTCCAAAGGATAGAATGAAAGGTAACAAGGTAAATGTGTCATTATTAAATATTTAATTTATAAAATAAAAGTAATTACAAGTCATGTTCAAATATTTTATTATTTTTTATTGATTGACGTTTATTATTTTTTCATGTCCAAAAGATAGAAAGGAAAACAAAAAGTGAGACCTGCACGTTTTCACAATAATAATTATCTGAACTAATCCACATGGTGTTAATATATACCTTAACCAAATCTAAGGGTCACTGTTAATTTTTATCATCCAATGATCCATATTAATCCAACGGCACCATTCCATTACGGGAGGGTAGCCGTGCCCCAATTTTGAACCCGTGTCATTATAAAGACTTAATTTAATTTAAATACTAAATCTATTTTAAAATGGTTACCAATTTTCTTTAACCGTAACACCAAAATTGAAAATACAAAATTGTGATCATAAATTATCAATAACAAAATAGTAATTTTTAAAATTAGTAGTGAATTATAAAATTGATGAAATATGAACTAATTTCTAGAGAGAGGTATATAAACCGCGTGCATAATTTTAGTTCTTGGAGATACTTTTAATAAATTAAAAAATTAAACAATAAAATAAAATAAAAAATGATATACATTGGAAGGATAGGAGAAGTATATAAACCTACATACTTTTGACCTTAACTGCTTGATCACTACTCCATAATTTCCCTATATATAAAGAGATAAAGAGAGAGTCGGCCTTTGAGAGAAAACAG